TCCCACTGGTCTCCGGGCTGCTCCGGCGGCCTCCGGTCTTCTGCTTCCTTAATTACACAGGTGGAGATAGATGGCAGGAATGGGAGCAGTTCCTATCTCAGCTCCACCCCCAAGGCGGGGCTAGAAACTTTGGAGCCAAAGACCCCGCCCCAAGTCACCAGAGTGTGTGGGTCATAATGTCTCTCTGTCTTGTATTCACCAAAATCAGCCTCTTACTAGGCTCGACCCTGCCCAGGCAGACTCCAGGGCTTGGACACCAAGCGCAGGAGACCTGTGCTGGTAGAGACTGGCCTGAAGCTGGCAGGCCCATAGCCAGAGCCACGGATCCCCGTCTTCTGTCTCTTTAATTACACAGGTGGAGATAAGTGGTAGGAATGGGAACAGTTCCTATCTCAGCTCTGCCCCCAAGGCGGGGATAGAAACTTTGGAGCCAAAGGCTCAGCCACAAGACACTGGAGAGTGGTGGACATAAAGTCTCTCTGCCTTATAGCCACTAAGGGAAACCTCCTACTGGGCTAGGCCCTGCCCAGGCGGGCTCCACACTCTGGACACAGAGCGCAGGAGACCTGTACAGGGAGAGGTTGATGTGAAGCTGGCCAGTAGGCCGGCAGCCAGGACCACCAGGCCCCATCTTCTGTCTCTTTAATTCCATAGGTGGAGATAAGCGGCGGGAACCGGAGCAGTTTCTATCTTGGCTCCGCCCCCAAGGCGGGGATACAAACTTTGGAGTCAAAGGCCTAGCCCCAAATCCCCGGATGTTGAGTTCGTAAAATATCTCTGCCTTATAACCACTAAAGGCAGCCTCCTACAAGGCCCAGCTCTGCCCAGGCGGGCTCCACACTCTGGGCACAGCGCGAGGGAGACCTGTGCAGGGAGAGACTGACCAAAAGCAGGCAGGCAGGCAGGCAATGGGAGCCACCAATCCCTGTCTTTTGTCTCCTTAATTACACAGGTGGAGATAAGCGGCAGGAATGAGAACAGTTCCTGTCTCAGCTCTGCCAGGCTGGGACAGAGACTTTGGAGCCCAGGCGGGGTTCCGGGTCCCAGGAGAGTGTGGAAGGCAATGTTTCTCTGCCTTAAATCTGCCAAGGGCAATCTCCCCTGTAGTACTTCCCCGTTCAGGCAGGGTCCACTCTCTGAGCACAGAGTCAGTGTCACTTGTACAGCAAGTGATGGTCCAATATCAAATTGGTGGAGCAGGGGCGCATACTAGCGCTCCCTCTGCACCTCCCCTCCAAACCCCAAGCCCAAGTCAGCGCTGGAATATGGGGCGGGAGCGGTGCCGGAGGGGCAAAGGGAGGGGGGTCCTACTGGATCAAGGAATCTAACTTTGCGCACTCTGACCTCTGAGTGCTATCCCAAACCTCCTCTATATCCAAAGTCGGAGCCTCCTTCTGTGTAAACTCCCCTTAACCTTGACCTGGGAGTGTTCTGCAGGGAGATGCCCGAGTGGGCTCTGGTTCCGGCTGCGCGGAGAGCGGTTGCTGCGCTCGGACCCTCCCCCACCTTAACCTGCGGCAGCTGTGTGCTCTGGAGAACTCAGCGTGTTCCCTGCTCTAGTCTCCTCTCCACACGGCTTAGTCCCGCGCTGTCACTTCTCACCAACTTCAGGCACCTCCCGGCCTATGTGGGAGTGGAGCTCGGTGTAGGAGGGGGTGTTTCTCAGCACCCTGTAGGGCTGGCGCCACTGCCAGCTGGCATAGGCTTAAATCACGCCTCGCTCCCTCCCTGTTGTGTGCCTCCGAATCCCTGAGTTTTGCGGAAGAATGATGGGTTCACCTTTGCTTTAGGCTGTAAGTGGTCTTATCTCCCTGTTTCCTGTTGGATGTCTACAGGCTTGCGAAACTGGTCCCGTGGAAGTGCAGATCGCTGGAGTGTGGCTATCCGCTTTCTTCACTTTTCACTCTGGGAGCAGAGAGCCAGGAGGGCACCCCTACTCTGCCATTTTCTGGATCCTAATCACCGTAATTTTTGATGCTAGAAATAAAAATTATGTTTTCTCTTGGTGTATTTTACTGACTGTGAAGGGGTTCAAGGAAATTTGTGGTGAAATGGAAATGTTTTATGGTTAGATTTGAGTAGTTGTTATGTGGCTGTTTACATATAAAGTTATCCATCTGAACAATTAAGATGTGTGCATTTTATAGTATGTAAATTATACCTCCATAAAGGAAATGTCAGGGTAAAAGGCAAAAAACAAACAAAAGAGGCAAAGAAACCCTGATTGTTGACAACAAGCATTTTTATTGTTTTAAGACTATCTTTCTTGACATATGTGATTTGGGATTTCATAGATTTTATAACCCTGGAAAAATCATGCTAAATCTACCTCTGAAGACTTTCACAGAGGCCCATGCAGACACTTAGAATGATGGCAGTATGTTATCAGACTCAGTGATGTGGTAATTACCATGTATTTCTGCTGAAGTTTTCCATTCTTGACAATGAACAATTAAATGCCCCCTGGGATCTGTTGTGATTTTTACTTCCATTCCTTCTTCATACTCCTCTAATGAAGTCTGAAAGTTCCAGGGGTTTCTTCTTTGGGACTCTAGTCTCCTCCTTGGTGATGATAAATAATCCTACAGTACATATATCGTGAGGGCATTTACATGTATTTTCACTTCTGACTGCAATGACACCCATCTATGTGGGAAGGTGAAGAGAAAGTAGGCGATGAGAAAGTGAGTACCAGGGGCCATGAGCAAGGTAATTTGACCTTTTGCTGTCTCTTTCTCCTGAATCTCTTTTGGGATGAGTACACAACCAACCAGATGTGATGTTCATGATGGACTGTGTCATCATGTCCCATAGAATGAATTTGAATATGGTCAGGAATTCAAAGAGGCACACCAGCAAATGCTAGTGCAGATTTGGGGCCTTTTGTATTGTCTTTTTATTATTATTATTTCAAGAAAATATGGGAGTACAAACATTTTGGTTGCATTTTATAACCCTTGCCTCTTCCTAGCAAAGGTTAGAGGTATGACCTTCCCCTCCACAATGCTCACCACATCCTTCAGATGTGGGTTTATCCCCCAACCTCCAAATCCCTAGTGAACACCACCACCATTTGGGCACCATAGTGTTAATCAGTCAGTACCAATTTGATGGCGAGTACATGTGGAGCCCATTTTTCTGATCTTGTGTCACCTCACTTTGGATAATGGGCTTAAGCTTAACCCAGGAGAATATAAGCGGTGCTAGATCACTGTTGTTTCTTATAATTGAGTAATATTCCATGTCTTAGGGGTCTAGGATTTATCAGCCAGATCACCACAAGGGAAAGCTTTGACTATTTCTGCTGCAGGGTTTGGAAATTTCTGTCTTTCTTGAAAATGATTAGCCTTAACAATTTCCTCTTGAGTTAAGACATGAACCATCTACTGACTTTTTTATAGGTAAAACATAGGTACATCTCAAGTCAGAGTGTTCTTTTTTGTTTTTCCTTTCCATTAGCTAGGGGAAAGATCCTGGTTTGTTGGAAGAAAAAAGGAGCACATGATCAAATAAGCTGTCTCCTGTGAGCTACTTCTTGGTGAGTACTTGACCATGGGCATGATTTGCAATCTAATGGGTCAAATATTTAAGCCAGAGGCTGGTTATGTTTAATCAGTATTATGGATCATGTACAGTGAAAGCAGTAGGACTGGACAAATCAAAGAATTAAGTGAAGTACAATTTAACTATGGTAACTGAGTCACCAGAGCACTCATTTGTAACAGAAGCCCAGACCCCTTCCCCAAAGATTCAGTGTCAGTTAATCTGGTTTCTGGGTGGGTACTGGCTTTTTAAACAATTCTTGTTCCTCTAGTGACTGCAGTGGGCACCCAGGTGTGATTCCAACCACATCAGAATCGTCCCATGTAACAATGTTCCCTGAAAAAGGGAATGTTTAAGGGTGATTTATGATTAATAGCAGAAGGCAACACTTCCATTCTGCTGGGTTGATAAAGGAGGGGGTCCTGGTTCACCCGTTATGTATTTATAAGTTGAGTCTGCACAATGAAGTCATGTAACTATTTCTAACCCTTCTTTAGACATGATTTCTGGGTAGTTATGGATACTGTGAGAGTGGGCTTTCCTGCTAAGGCTAGGGTCTTGAGTGAATGGACTTCAGGAAAAGAAATCGGTTGGAATATGGTGAGAGGAATGTGGCTTTTTCATGCTTTCTATTTTCAGAGCGCTAAAGGGAGTACATGGGAGGGCTTCATAGAATGTATGTCATACCTGAAATGCAGACTTACACTGTGACTCCATGAAAGATTTTTCTGTGATTGCAAATCATTGAGATTGCAAATCACCCCCATAGTCAAGTACTCACCAAGAAGTAGCTCACAGGAGACAGCTCCTTTGATCACGTGCTTCTTTTTTCTTCCAACAAACCAGGATCTTTCCCCTAGCTAATGGAAAGGAAAAACAAAAAAGAACACTCTGACTTGAGATGTACCTATGTTTTACCTATTAAAAAGTCAGTAGATGGTTCATGTCTTAACTCAAGAGGAAATTGTTAAGGCTAATCATTTTCAAGAAAGACAGAAATTTCCAAACCCTGCAGCAGAAATAGTCAAAGCTTTCCCTTGTGGTGATCTGACTGATAAATCCTAGACCATTTTCTGTGGGTTGACAGCCTTCATTGTTATATGTTAGTCTTATTATTTTTGTCTGCAAAAGATAATGATTTCATTTTTTATCATTTAACTTAAATGGAATATTATTTAAAGGTATTATTTTCCAGAAAAGCTAAGTTGCACCAAAAATGTATTCTCAAAAACAAAACCAAAAAATAAATAAATAAATAAACCTTCAATTTTTATAATTAAACAATGGTAAAAGGCCAAATAATTTTTAATAAAATATTGAAACATAAAGAAGATTCTTTGCTAAAAATAGTAATGGCAAGAAAACATTGATTTTTTTTAAACAATAATAGTAGCCATCAATTAAATTCTTTATTCTTCATTGATAGTATTTTCTGCCTAATAGATCAAAGAGGGTTGATGACAGACAGAGAAATGGACATAACCATAAAGCTGAGGAATGAGACAACGGTCCAGGAGTTCATCCTGGAGGGGTTCCCTGCTGTCCAGCACCTGGGGAACGTGCTGTTCCTGGTGCACCTGCTGGCGTACCTGGGCTCTGTCATGGGAAACATGCTCATAATCACCATCACCTGGGCTGACCATCGCCTCCAGACACCAATGTATATTTTACTCAGCAGTTTCTCCTTCTGTGAGTTTGGTTTTATCACCACAGTTATTCCTAAACTGCTGGTCATCTTTCTTCTAGGAAGGCAAACAATTCCCTTTGCTGACTGTCTCACACAGGCCTATTCTTTTTTATTACTTGGGGCAACAATTTTCTTCCTCATGGCTGCCATGTCCTTGGATCGCTACCTGGCCATTTGCAAACCTCTGCACTACCCAACCATGATGAATCTCAGGGTTTGTTTCCTTCTGGTTTTCTTCTGCTATGTTTTGTCCTTCATCGTCATCACTGGTCTGGTCGTCACGGTCTCCCAGCTGTCCTTCTGTGGCCCCAATGTCATCCCACATTTCTTCTGTGATATTGGCTCCTTAATTCATCTCTCCTGTTCTGACACCAGATCTGCTGAGATGTTGGCCTTTGGCCTCATTTCCTTCATTTTGTTTTCATCCCTTGTTGTAACCATCATTGCATATAGCAACGTAATAGTCACAATCATGCGTCTCCCCTCAGCCAAGGAGCGGCAGAAAGCTTTCTCTACCTGCTCCTCCCACCTCATTGTCCTCTCTCTGATGTATGGCAGCTGTGTCTTTATATATGTGAAACCGAACCAAAGGGACAGGCTGGACTCCAACAAAGAGGCTGCTCTTGTGAACACGGTGGTGACCCCGCTGTTGAACCCGGTCATCTACACTCTGCGGAACAAGCAGGTTCACCAGGCTCTGAGGGATGCTCTGTCCAGGGTGAAATTGCACAAATAGGGTAATAGGTATTTGGAGAGTAAGTACATCTCCTTGGTCATCTAGTTCACTTTCCCACCATTGCAGAAATCTTCTCCATAAATTCTCAGCTTATGGTGATCTTGCTTATGGTAATGTTCACCTAGATGGATACTACCTTATCTTGCAACTCAATGCCTTGCACTACTTGAAAATTCAGATTAGGTTCTCTATACTGTGATAAAATTATCTTCTTTGATATCTACTCATTGGTCTTACATGAATTCAATTCAAGCAATATTTATGGAAAGCCTAATATATATAAGTCAAATAATATATAATCTTTAAGTTAATTTTTAAAAAGTTGCCAATTATATTTAATAATTTCTCACCATGATATATTCTTCTGCTTGAACCTTCTTATACCTAAGAAGAAATAGACAGAAACACCTTTTTTAACCACCTTGTGTGTTCAAGGTAAGGTTTGAAAATTGCATAAGGTCATATTAAATAGCCTTATTAAAGTTAATGGTAATTAATTAATTGTTTCTTTGCATGTAAGTGAATCAGCAGAAACTTACTAAGTTTTCTTTTTGGATCTGTTGGCTTTAGAGATATAAACAGCTTTGTGTAACTTCAGGTTGTTAGCACTTTCACTCTATCATTTTCCAGCTGCATCAAATATTATTAAGAAAGGTATCTTTAATCCTTCCTTGAACCAGAAACAAAGCGAAAACCTTTTAAATTTGTTCATTTTTCTCCTGTAATTCATGTTGCCAGACACTAGACCAAATGGGTTGCAGAAAGGTGGTCCCCTTGTCGAATTCTCTCCTCCCATGCAAGAGATGTCTTCCCTAATATGACTTTAGTTGTAGGTATGGTGTGTCTTCCGGGTTAAGCTAATTCTGGTTGACAGTTTATGCAGAAAAAAATAAAAGAATTCATAATTAGAAAAGTTTTAAAAAATAATGAGTGCATTAATGACAAAAATGGATTAAAATGGAGTCAGTTATTTTGATTACAAGTGCATGGAAAAGTCTCTCCCACCCGAAGGCAGTTGCACTAGAGGGAAGTGCCTGTCTCTGCTGGGTCCCCATCTGCATGGTGTCATTTGATTTTTTCTGTGTCTCACTAAGTCCATATTTTCCCTTTCTGCTTCAGAATTAATTGTATTTAAGACATAATTTTCTCAGAAAGGATCTTATACTTTCAAAGAGTGTTAGGTGATTTATATTATTATGTCTGGGAATGGCTGGACTAAGCTATTCTGGGAGTTATGGTCTGCCAAGGAGAGCTGTGTCTGTGTTTCTCCTGTCTCCCCAAAATAACTTAGGCAGACAATTTCTATACCTAGTCTATGTACAGAGAGCTCCCTAGAGGGCAGACAACATGCCCCTTGATCCCTGGATGTCAGAACTCTGGACTGCATTCTAGTAAAGCCATAATTCAGCTGGAAGAAGTCACCATAAAAGCCCTTAAAGGATGAATGAGCCCTTTTAGCAAAATGGGACTCTGAGTCTAATCCTTAGCCAGTATCCCAGTGAACAAAGCTAGGCCCCCTAGGGTGATCTTTCTTTAATTTGCCCTGGAAAAAAAACTCTCGTTTTTTTAAATAATAAAGTATTTATTTTAGGATAATTGTAGATTCATATGCAGTTTTAAGAACAATACAGAGGGATCCAATATCCCCTTTACCCAATTTCCCACAATGGTAGCATCTTGCAAAATATAATATATCATAGCCAGAAAGTTGACATTGATAAGGTCAAGATACAGGAGATTTCATCCCACAAGGATCCCTCCTGTTGATCTTCTATAGCCACACACACTTCCCTCCTGCTGCAGCTGTTCTGACTTTTATAACTTTTCCATTTTCAGAAATAAACATACGTGTATGTGTGTGTGTGTGTGAGAGAGAGAGACAGACAGACAGACAGAGTATGTATGTAAAATTTTATAGGATGTAACCCCTGGGATTGGCTTTCTTCCTATGGCATAATTCTCAGGTGATTCTTCCAAGTTGTTCCATGCCTCAATTTTTCATTCATTTTTATTGCTGAATATTATTCCATGGTATGTAAGTATCACATTTTGTCTAATAATTTATCAGTTGAAGGACATATGGGGTGTTTCCAATAGTTAACTATTACAAGTAAAGCTTCTGTAAACATTCAGGTACAGGTTTTATTTGTTTGTTTGGTTTTTTTTTTGAGACAGAGTTTCACTCTGTTGCCCAGGTTAGAGTGTCATGGCGTCAGCCTAGCTCACAGCAACCTCAAACTCCTGGGCTCAAGCGATCCTTTTGCTTCACCCTCCCGAGTAGCTGGGACTACAGGCATGCGCCACCATGCCTGGCTAATTTTTTCTATATATAGGTTTAGTTGGCCAATTAATTTCTTTCTATTGTTAGTAGAGATGGGGTCCTCTTGCTCAGGTTGGTTTTGAACTGACCTTGCGTGATCTGCCTGCCTCGGCCTCCCAGAGTGCTAGGATTACAGGCATGAGCCGCCGCGCCGGGCAAGGTACAGGTTTTTGTATGAACTTAAGATTTCAATTACCTGGGATAAATGCCTATTAATGCAATTGTTGGGTTGTATGGTAGTTGCATGTTTGGTTTTGTAAGAAACTGGCAAAATGTTTTTCAGAGTGGCTGAAGAATTTTACATTCCCACCAGCAATGCATGGATGACTCAGTTTCTTCTCATTCTTGCTAGCATTCGGCAGTATTATTTTTGTTTCATTAGAATTAGAAATTAAGCATCTGCCATTTATTAAGGTATATAACAACTATTATGAAATATTATTACTTAAACTTTCCAAACTATCTTTTCTTTATTGAAATTTTTATTTAAATGATCATAGATTCACAAGCAGTTGTAACAAATAGAGATCCATACACTTTTTGCCCATTTTCTACAAAAAATGGGCAAAAAGTGTATGGATCTCTATTTTGAAAAACTATAGTTTACTATCATAATCATGATATTGACATTGAAACAATTTAAGCGTTCTTTTTCAGATATTCCCAGTTTTTTTCCTTTTATTTCATCATATTATGGAGGTACAAATATTGTTAGGGTTAAAAATATTGCACCTTTTTGTACTCATGTGTGCCTGGGAGTGGGGAGGGGGTATGATTGTGTTTATAGTGTTGATAATTTTAGCACATGTTTGGGCTCATGTACCACCACCACAGTCAGGATAATGGATGGTTCCACAGTGCAAAGATCCCTCTTGGGGCCCTTTTTATAGTTGTTCTCACATCCCGCCCCGCCCCCTGCCCCAAACTACCAACACAAAGAAATTTCTATTCTGTCCTACATTTTTAGAATGTTCTCATTTCCAAACTGTTATACAAATGGAATCATAAAATATGTAATCTTTTGAGATTGGCTTTTAAAAAAGGAATTTTACAGAGAAAAAGGTTTTAATTTTACTGAAGTCCAATTTACCAATTTTCCACTCATAATTTATTGAGGATTGTTTCTGGGAAAATTCATTCTCCAGAACTTCTGCCTACTTATGCATGAATAAGTATACTCCCACAGCCTGAAAAACGTACTCTGGAAGAGGTTGCAGGAATTTGCTGTAAATACCCATAGGTTGTCTGTCAAGGTGAATGGCAAGGATATATGGGTGGGGCACCAGCAGTGCGTTCTTCAATCTACCTGTTACACTAATAAGATTCACTGGGCCAGCACGTTAGGTCCAGTTTGTTCTTATTCTTCAATGGAGTGGTTAGCCAGTTTTAAAAATAGAAAACAAAAATCCAAAACAAAAATCCAGTTTTAAAAATAGAAAACAAAAATCCAAAACACTGACCTATAGCAGTAAGCAGCAAGCTACAATGCCTCCTGTTGCAACTGGTTCCAAGGCCACATATATAGTTATCATCCCCTACCACTATCATGCATTCTAGATTTTCTTTCACCGACAGCCAGATTATCTGTTGGCTTAGTTTGCTTGCCGTCTAGGGTATTTTTATGCTAGAAGGGTCTGAGACCCTGGTTACCATGCCCTTAAAAGATCCTGGTCAGTTAAACTTAAGGCATGAAACCTTAAGAATCCTAGAAGAAGATGTTGGGAAAACCCTATCAGACATTGGCCTAGGCAAAGACTTTTTGAGGAAGACCCCCAAGGCAATCACTGCAGCATCAAAAATAAACAAATAGGATCTGATCAAATTAAAAAGTTTCTGCACAGCCAAGGAAACCATCAGTAGAGCAAATAGACAACCCACAGAGTGGGAGAAAAACATTTGCTCTCTACACCTCTGATAAAGGTTAAAGAAATGCTCAACTTCTCTAATTATTAGAGAAATGCAAATCAAAACCACAAAGAGATACCACCTAACCCCAGTGAAAATGGCCTATATCAAGAAATCCCAAAACAACAAATGCTGGCGAGGATGCGGAGAGACAGGAACACTCCTATACTGCTGATGGGACTGCAAATTAGTGCAACCTTTGTGGAAAAAAATTTGGAGATACCTCAAACAGCTAGAAATAGAAATACCATTCGACCCTGCAATAGCATTGTTGAGCATCTACCCAAAAGAGCATAAGACATTCAATTATAAAGACATCTGCACCCGAATGTTTATAGCAGCACAATTCACTATTGCACAGTCATGGAAACAACCCAAGAGCCCATCAATTCATGAGTGAATAATTAAAATGTGGTATATCCTCACAATGGAATATTACTCAATCCTAAGAAATGACGGTGAGCTAGCACCATTTATGCTATCCTGGATTAAGCTTAAGCCCATTATCCAAAGTGAGGCAACACAAGATATGGAAAATGGGCTCTACATCTACTCGCCATCAAATTGGTACTGACTGATTAAAACTATGGTTTTCAAATGGTAGCAATGCTCACCAGGGATTGGGGGGGGGACCCAATCTTAGGGAGGTGGCGAGTATTTTGGAGGGGAAGGGCATAACTCTAACTCTTCTTAGGGAGAGGCAAAGATATACAATGTAACCAAAATGTCAAAAAAAAAATCAAAACAAAACGTTTTATCCAGTGGTAGGCAGGCG